TCCAGATACACCACTCATGAACTAACTGAACTCAACAGACATCTTGGAGGGGATGGCCAGTGACTACTGAAATAATAGCTGTGCTTGTGTAGAGTTATATGAATTTATATGTATATACCATAGCTGGGAAATATCAGATATGGGCATGACGTAAATGGTACAGAATAAGGGGTGGATGATGTCCTGGTTGCAGAGAGAAGGGCACATCAGGAAAAAAATGCAGACAAACCACTCTCGTGTTCTGGTGTGGCACAATGTTTTAGGAATAAAGTGATAAGAAACAGATGTCACATATGTTTACCTTAGGAAAGTTTTTGACATTGGCTGTCCTGGCCCCTTCTTAAGAAGATAAAAGGGCATGGTGAGTGTAAAACTGGTGAGATCAGTGTACAGCAAGTGCTAATTATCAGTGTTTGTCAAAATGGAAGGACATATTCAGAGGATTTTTTGCAGGGGTCTGTTCTGATGCCAGATCTTTTTAATTACTTAAGTTAACAGCCTAGATGATTAACACCCATGACCGCATTATTAAGCCTGCTAATTACTCCAGGCTGTTGAGGACAGCAAAGACAACAGGATTCAGCACTAGATGGAGAAACAGCCTGCAATCTACAGGGCAATATTCAACAGGTACAATTTCCAGCGTTACTTTTATGAGCAGTGAGCAACACAGGTTCAGGTGAGCAAAATGGGTGGATGTAGTTTTCAAAAAAAAAAAACTCACCAACCCAAAAACCACTCCCTCCTCCTCCCAAAAAATAAGAGTTTACAGTGTAATGGAAAGCAAACTGAACATCAGCAATGGAAAAGGCAAACAGCATCCTGGAGCATGTGAGCTGCAGCCTCCAAGGCACGCTGCGATAGTATGCCTAGCTAGGGATGCTGTGCTCCAAAAAATGCAGGTGGACAGAAAACATCAAAGGAGGTCAGTGAGGATGCTGGGAGGCATAGGAGACATGAAGAAAGGCTGAAGGAAATGAACTGATGTAACGTGTAGAAGAGAAAGCTGAGGCAAGGACAAGAAGGGAAACATTGCAGTTCATCATTGCACATCATCAAGTGCCCAAGGGGTCATTTTGAAGAAGGATATGGCCATAGTGAACAGGGCAGGATATAACTGATTTGAAATTTAAAAATACCTCTGAAGTTAGGCTTTTGGATGATGTTAGGATGTGGGCCAGAACAGATTGCTAGGGAAAGGCAGTGGAGGTCTTTGAAGAAAGGTTTCACGAACATGTCAGAGCAGGTATTGTTGTTTCTCCTAGATTTGCAGTGAGGGAAAGTATTATTTTAGCTAATTATAAGCAAACACATGTAGGTGGCACACAACAGAAGTGGAAGTCAGTGTTTGTGCCAGTGTTTGCCAGTAGGCACTGGGTTTCTGCATCAAAGCCTGCAAGGTGCCAACCCTGGACCTGCCCTCAGGGGTTAATGCAGAAGAGTAGGCTTAAGCAAAACAGGGAAGAGAAAGGAAAGATAAGGAACCAGGGAAGGGAATGTTTTTTTGTGTCAGAACTTAACACAAAGGGTGATGGTTTGCAGTTCCTGGAGGCACTTCCAGTGTGTGTTCAGGGCTGTATTATCACCTCCATGGTGACCTGGGTGATGGAGCAGCAGAAAGAGTCCTCATACTTCTAATACGTGGGACGTCCAGCTCTTTCCTCAGCCCATCTCCATTCATAAAAAGGGTCAGTATTGTTTCTACTACAAAGATGAGGACACAAGGCCTCCTGTAGGGACTCCCGTATGTCATGCAGCAGCCTGGAGAGGGTCCACAGCTCTGGGGCAGCAACTTCACTGCTTTAATTCACAGCGTGTGCCGCCCCTATGAATAGGAACGTGGGTTTGCTGGAGTTAAGAGGAATGGTCAGAAACCATGTGCTGGCAGGAACAGCAGTGGCCAAAAGAAGAAAACGAGGGGGAAAATGAGGGGGAAAATGAGGGGGAGACTGATGGTGGCAGGAAGAGGCTGATGCCCTGGCTGTCCGGGAACGCACAGCAAGGAGCTGTGCCCTGTGGTCTCGAGAGAGTCGGGAGAAGTTTGCAAGGGGCTGCACGCGTGGGGTAAGTCCTTAACCCTAGGGTGAAGATGAGAAATGCTGTAAAGCCGCTCGGGCCCCCGAGGGGATGTGAGACAGGCCAGCAAATGTCCGGGCGACGCCGGCTGAGGGACCGGCGGTGCCGAGCGCGGTGCGGGGTCCCCTGCGGGCGGTGCCCCCGGCCCGAGGGAGCGGCCGCGGAGCCGCAGGACCGCCCGGGGATGCCCCGGGGGATGCAGCGCCGCCTCCGCCGCGGCGCAGCGGAGCCGCAGGCGCGGGGCCCCGGCGGGGAGGGGTTTCGCGGCCCCAGCCGGGGGCGGACGGGCGGCGGGGCCGTGTGTCCTGCCCTGCCGGGGAGGGCCCTGCGCAGCGCCGCCGCCGCTGCTCCCGCTCCGCGCACAATGGCGACTCCCAGCCCCAGCGGCGGCTCCGGGGGGAGCGGGAGCGGGCCCGGCCCGGGCGCCGCCGGCAGCAGCAGCAGCAGCAGCATGCAGGGTAAGCACCGCCGGCCCGGGCAGCGCCGGGCCCTGCCGGGCCGCAGCTCCCGCCCTGCCCGGGCCGTGGGGACCCCGGGGCGCTGCCCCCCGCGCTGGGCCGCGGCCGTGCAGCGGCGCTGCCCGCGGGAATCCCCGGCTCGGCCCGGCCCCGGCGGCCGCGCTCCGGGCCTGCCCCGCTGGCGGCCTGGCCGCGCCCGGCGCGCTCGGCGGGAGGAAGCGCGGCCCTGGCGCGGCTCGCCGGGGCTGCCGGGCCTGCCCGGAGCTCGGCCCCGGCCGCCGGGACAAAGGCCGGGCTGGACGCGGCTCCGGCCTCTCCCGGCGGGGAAGGGCTCTGCGGCCGCTCCGCAGGCCGCGGCGGCAGCAGCATCCCTGGGGCGGCCGGCCGGAGCGAAGTGCGCTGGGGGCGGCC